GTAAAGTATATATATATATATATATATATATATATAATATAACTTAATTAGCATATATATGTATTAAATAATAATAATAATTAAATATAATATATTATTAAATCGATTTGATGTTTTAAAAATGCATAAGTTCCAATGAATCAGCACCCCCTACTAAGAGGGTGCCATTAGCACTGCCCATTGGTAAAACGTCCATAGTTCTCTCTCTATCAAATTAGATTTTGTTCCTGTGTTACGCTTTAATTTTTGCATTTATCTCTAAAACGCATTTAAAATACAAGTTATATTTATTTTGTGTTTTACATAACAAAATGCCACATGAGTTAACTCATTTACTTGTGGGACGAGTTCGTTGAGTACATTATGAGCCCCTCAGATAAGGGACAAATATGTCCTTTTGCACTTGTTCTTTGACCTCCCACCTCTTTACTCTTCAACCAAGAACATCTATCACCGACACAAGCTCACTGTCACCATTGCCACTCACCACTAGCATCGTCCACCACCTTCCTCCTCTAACAAACGTTATTAGTCAATCAAAATCATTAACAGCACGCACCATAGAAAATCATCAAAAACTTCTAACACCCTCTACCAAATTACGCCACCCTCCGAATCCTAAATCATCAAAGAACACATGCATCATGCTCATGCATGCCCTCTACAGGACATCGAATCCACAACACATCAAGAACATCAAATTTATAAAAATCAATACCATCAAGAACATAAACAATAATTTCTACCAACTCTTTCGTACAAAACCCATTTAAATCAAAAATCCTTAAATCTAACTAAAAGATGATCATACTAAAACTAAATTTAAAACTACTAAAAAAACTCTAAATTTGCTTTGGGTGAAGCGATGCAGATCCACAAACATACAATGAAAACCAAGATATAAGGTTTCACGATAAACCCCATTATAGTAGTTGCATGAGTTTCATCGGCTTCTAGTTTCGTTTTCTGTTGGATCACCTATTTATTGATTGGTGATGATCCTCCGATCAACACTTGGTAGTTGTAGGTTTCACTGTATAAAAAACGCGTTTTTCATAGCATCGGCAAAAAGATAGATTGACCACTCATTTGAGGGGTAACGAACTCGTCTGTATGTTTTTTTTTTTTTTTTTAAAACACAAAATAAATATAACTCGTATTTTAATGCATTTTACAGATAAAAACAAAAATTGAAGCATAACACAGGGACCAAAATCTAAGTGTATGATTATATATATATATATATATATATATAGAGAGAGAGAGAGAGAGAGAGAGAGAGAGATAATCTTGGACTTTTTACAAATTTGATATTCCTTGACAAATGTATTAGAAAAATACTACAACTTACAAACTATGACCACTCATCAACTAATGTTGCCAAGAGGATGATATGAACGTATTGTAGCAGCCATTATTCAACACATAACGATCAAACATTAGGGGCTCGTATTTTGACTTTGATTTATAATTATTTGCTTTATACTAATAAAATTGAACGTTCTTCTCTCTCTATATATATGCATATTATGAGAGCAAGCAAGTCACAACTACAACCATGTTTATTTTTATGCTTCTCGTTGCCACTGGAATCTTGTTGTGGTGGTGCTACTCGACTCATACCCATCTCAAAAAACTCCCACCTGGACCTTTTCCGCTACCAATTATAGGAAACCTCCACTTACTAGGAAACCTACCTCATCGTGCCCTCCACAAGCTATCCCGAAAGTATGGATCTATCATGTCCATTCGTCTAGGCTCGATTAACGCAGTCATAGTTTCTTCTCCGGATGCTGCAAAACTATTCCTCGGAACCCATGATGCCATTTTTGCATCTCGACCTGAAGTCCAATTGTCAAAGTACCTTTATCATGGCAACAAGGGGATATTATTGTCAGAATATGGTGAATATTGGCGAAATATCAGGAAATTTTGTGTAACGGAGTTGTTGAGTCCTGTGAAGATTAATGGATTTGCAGGAATGAGAAAGGAGGAGATTGGGTGGATGGTGGAGGAGATTAGAGTTGCATCCATGACACATCAAGTGGTGGATTTGAATAAAATGGTGGGTAGTTTGATCGAAGGTATGACATGTAGGATGCTTTTTGGGAAGAAAAACGACGAAAGATTTGTTTTCAGGAGAATAATTGACGAGTTTGCGGTGGTGCTAGGTACCGTAAACTTGGCAGACTTTGTGCCCATGCTACAACACTTTGATCTACAGGTAAATTTCTTCATCATTTTGAATATGTTTGTCAAATCTTTTATACTCTTATTTTGAATTAGGAACTATATCAAACTGAATCTTGGACTTTAGTTTTCCTTCCTTGCTTCACCGATTTCACAAAAATATACTAAATTGTGTTTGGTAAACTAGTTATGAATAAATAATTTTTGACAAAAACTAGCTGATACATGTAAATTGACCAAAAAAAATTTCTTCAAAAATTAGTCGATTACAATATTTTTTAATATAATTAAAAGAAAATCTCTAATTAATAATATAATATGTGAATTAGTAAAGAAATAATAGATAATATAATATATTAATTAAAAGAATTTTTCAATTTGATTATTATCTATATGTATTATAAATTTTGGACTTGTTAAAACAGATTTTAGAAAAAAATATACATTAATTTATGATTTTAAATAACCATTACATATAATATGAATAAAAATAAAATTGATCACCCTCGCATATCCTAATTAATTAGTATTTTTTTTTTAAATATGATCAATAATTAAATTAAATTAGAAAATTTATTAAAATCATTTTAAACAATTTTCTAATTTATGAATTAAAATAAGTATAAGTTTAGTTTTTATATGTACAAAAACATTTTTAGAATTGTTATATTCATTTTTTGATAACTAAATATACTGAATAAAAAATAATAATACAAAAATAATTGATATGACTAATAATTAATAACTAATATTAATATTTAATTAAAATTAATTAATAATTTTCAATTAAAATTAATACTTTTAACTAATATTTACAATATTAGTAATAATTAAATTTTATTAATATTTATTTATTTATTAATTGTAATAAATAATAATTATTAGTAATGGGTTATAATTGAAAAAAGTAATAGTAAGCTCTTAAAACACTACTCTACTCTAACTAGAGTTTCATGTGAATACAATTCACATATTTTTATAAATTATAAATTGACTCACATACAAATTATATTTAAGATTCACATGTGAATACGATTCACATGTTCATATATATATATATATATATATATCATAATTTGATTCAAAATATCAGTTATAATTTTAATTTGATTTCATGTATAAGTTATGATTAAGATTCACATATGAACCTATGTTAAGATTCACATGTTCTAATAAGAACCAATGAAAAACATCGTTGTTCACGTTCACATATTAAATTTAGGAAAATGAAATTTAATTCAACTTGTAGATCGTAAAATCACCAATGATTTGAAGATGAAAAATGGGATAAAAACCAATGATTATTAATATTCAAAAAAGTGTTAATAAAAAAAATAACAAATAAATTAGAATATTTAATTTTTTTTATAATTATATTAATTGATAAAAAAAAGACTTGGAAATAAATAACTTAAGCTAGTTGTTGAGATTCCTTCTCTCATTCTTAAATCAGTGGCCATCCCCACCACAACGTCGATCACCGACTACCCGACGCCACCATCCCCATAACCACCGGGCTCCTCCTTCCCTATTGCCTACGACCAGCTATGGACTCCATTTCTTCCCCGTTCATCAAACCCAAAAATCCATTACACTAGCTTTCCCCATTTCACGAATCCATCTTCCTTGAAGCTTCTTTCTGTGTTCTTTTTAGGAGATAGGGTTTTCTTACAAAGATGAAGAAAAAAGTAAAATCAAAATAATGTATGCATATAAATTTGGAGGGAATGACATTGAACACTTGTTTGTGCTACAAATTTGTAGGGATTGACTCGACGTTTTAAGTCATTAGTCAAGGACATTGATGAAATGTTGGACACTCTGATAACTGAGCATGAGGAATACAGTCTTACAAGGATTCAAAGATCTGACCAAATGAACTTCATTGACATACTACTTTCAGTAAAAAACAAATACTCCGTAACCCATGAGAATCTATCAAAAACGATTGATAGATCAACGATGAAAGCAATTTTAGTAGACATGGTAGCCGGCATAATCGATACTTCCAAAACTTCCATTGAATGGGTTCTATCTGCTCTTATTAAACACCCAAGAGTTATGAACAAGCTCCAAAAGGAGTTGGCAAGTATTGTCGGAGATAAACAGATGGTGGAAGAGACGGATTTGGCAAAGTTAAGTTATCTACACATGGTAGTTAAGGAAACCTTCAGGCTCTATCCAGTTGCTCCATTGTTGATGCCCCGTGAATCTACAGAAGATATAGTGATTAATGGTTACTACATACCAAAGAAGACACAAGTTTTAGTAAATGTTTGGGCATTTGGACATGACCCACAAGTTTGGACTGAAAATTGCGCAGAGTTTCTTCCTGAAAGGTTTCTTCATAAAGAAATCGATTTTCGCGGACCTGGTTTTGAGCTATTGAATTTCAGCGCAGGCAGAAGAGGATGTCCAGCCATGAATTTCGGATTATTAAACGTCTACTTAGCAGTTTCCAACCTAGTACATTGCTTTGATTGGGTGCTACCCGATGGCACGTCACATATCGACTTGGATATGAATGAAAAATTTGTATCGACAATGGCTAAGGTTAAGCCCTTGCTCGCCATTCCAACTTATCACATGGGGGGATCGACCGTTTGATGAAGAGACTTGATACGGTTTGATGCATAACAACGTCCCGCTTATATATGTTTCGACTCGTGCCTTTGTATTGTTTTGTATGTATACGTACTGTTATGGTTGCATCTTCCTTTAAAAAGTATTACTTGTAGTTATTCATGGTTTTTGAACAAATGGTATCACATAGCCTCTACATATCTTGAATTGTGAGTTCTGTCACGTTTTAGAAAACGTATCATCGTTGTTAATCGTTTAATCGCTATGAGATTGATTTATGTTGTCTTGTTAATTGAGTTTCTAGATTAAAGAAACTTCGGTAAAACAGTACCATGTAAAAACACAGTATTTTTTACTATTTACTTATCATTAAATATTAAAAACTACTTATTGTAAAGAATATTATTTAAACAAACCAAACTAAAGAAAACGAGCTTGTATGTCCCACTTGAAAGTAGATGCAACACTGAATCATCTAGATATAATATTATTTTCTTCATGGAATTTGGATCCACAACTCGACCTTCAGAATTCAAAAATGTTGATCAATTTTCATGTCTCAAAGAATATTGTCATGATCGCTCCCTACAAGTGATATTTTATTAAGCTCGAAATGGTTGGAGGTTACGGAAAAGTTATTGGGAACTATTTGTTGAGTTGGCTCAGCTTGATCCAGAGTCTTAGCTAGGTGACATCTTCACGATCATCCTTCTAGATTTTTTGTGACAAAGATTTTACCAGCTCCCTTTTGATTTCTTCGACACTAGTCTGAAAATCTGTTGCTGACTCTTTGAGTCGCTACAGGTTTCTTGTATGATTATGTTACAACATGATTGCCTTTATCTTCACCCTTGTTAGGCAAGACTTCATCTTTTTCTTGTGTCTTCTCACAAACGGACGATCGTTTCCCTTGAAAAGAAACTGACCAGATAATACGGTGATAGTGGTTGCATGTCCTTTCTGACGGTTCCCGTTGTTGAAATTAGGATGAAGCCTGTTAACAACCTTTGTCAGAGTAGCAAGAGTTGTGGTAATCATCGCAGTCATCTCTGCTGTGTCTGTTTTGATGGAACGTTGTTGATCTATCATTGTCAATTAAAAAAGATAGGAAAAGACTGCTCTGATACCAACTGACATGGCGACAAATTGTGGAAAGGTCAACATACGTCTAAACCCTAAAAGAATAACGAAGCTATAGACGTAGAAATCATAAAATTAAAATAAAAAAAATTAAAACAGAGTTAAACCTATAAAAATAACTTTATGATATAGACTATAAAACTAAGTAAGAGATACCTACAGAATCTAACACTAAAATCACAAACCTAAACTATTTATGATAATAATAATAATAATAATAATAATAATAATAATAATAATAATTAAAGAAAACAAATATTAATCCTAAATTTATTAAGAATAAAATAATCAAATAAACAGATAAAAGTTATATATAGATTGGAGATAAACTGTGATAATTTGTGAAGAGCAAATGATATATTAAGCCTAAAAATTACTTCAGTTTTCCCATATCTTTAAGCTTAACGTTTATTATTTAATGTCGTCATCATAGCACGACGTAAGACGATGTTTATTTTTCAAAATCGTCATTGTAACGTAACATAACATACAATGACGTTTATTTTCAAAACCATCACGTATCATGACATATAGTGATGTTCATTATGTAAAACCATATCAGTAACATAACATATGACTACGTTTATTTTTCAAACCCATCACAGTGACATGATATACTATGACGTTTAGTTTTCAAGACCCTAAACATAGAATGGCATATGTTGAGCGTTGACGTTTACATTTCAAACCCGTCACTATAGAATGACATATGGTGATGTTCATTTTTTAAATCATCATCGTAGCATCACATATTAAATTGAAGTAATAATATACATTATATGAATAATTATGAGAACACCAATATTAAAAGTGCTAAATATATGGATAATTATGAGTACTAAATATTTTTATGTATATAACCATTTGAGAATCATCAAATATATGAGAAATAGAGAAGTGAACCTAGCCCTTCCACTAAAAAGTTAAAAGTCAAGATTTGAGGGGCTAATTTTGCTGCACCAGATAATTCGATCGTATGGTAACAATTATGCGGAAGATAAAAGGTAATTTTGTAACTTATACAAATAGGCCACAAACAAATTATAATGTTTGCATATGTGAACTCATGTGATCCACATACAAATCATTTAAGTGATTTAGTTTATATATGAACTCGGATGATTCACATATAAACCATTTAATTGTAATTATGTGCATATGTGAATCTGAATGGTTCACATATGAACAATTTAATTGATTTACAGATGAATCTTAGGGGCCGTTTACTAAACACTTACTTGGTAAGTGCTTACCGGATAAATTTCTTTATCAGATGAACATGAGAAGGGCCAAGAATCTTACCGGGTAAGAGCGATGAGAATGATTGAGAGTCTTACCCGGTAAGTGAGAATAACGAATTTTACCCAGATAAGCGCTTACCCAGTAAATTGTTGCATTCGATATTTTTGATGTACTAAAATCTTGTGCATCAAAATAAATCATAATGTTGACTCCTATCGGTAAGTGCTTGGGTAAACGGCCCCTTAGACTCACATATAGCATTGTAGTTTTAGGATTAAAATCAAATTTTGCTCAAGATCACTTTTTGGTTCATATTTTCATTGTTATGTATACATGTAAACCCGAATGATTCGTATATGAACTATTTAAATAATTCACAGATAAATCTTAGATTCACATGTAGCATTATAGTTTTAAGATCACAATCAACATCTTGCTTAAGATTTCTTTCTAGATTCGGATTCATATTGAAAAAGTACGAGATTTGATCGAGAAAGAATTAAGAAATTTGATAATTTTGATAATCTAGAATTGCTATATATGATCAAAAAAATAATCGAGAAAAAGTCGCCTTAAAACCGATTTTATATTTTATTTCTTAAAATCATTAATGGGATCAAGATCATGTAACGCCGACTAGATTTCTCTTTAATGTCGTTAATGATGACGGTGTATTGATCATATATCGCCGACACTTTTTGCTAATTACCATATTACCCTTCATTTAATAAAATTTGATCATTTAATCTAATGGCTAGGATTGTTTCTCTCTTTCTCATACATTTAGTGCTTCTCATTTAACCAAGACAAATGTGGTAACTTTGTTAACCAATCCAGACCATTCAATAATTAAATGTTGAGATAAGAGCGTGTCGTATTTGTAAATATATAGACAATGGAGCACGTGTTCAGTGAACAAGGGTAACACTGTAATTTGATTAGCCACAACAAATAAGGAAAAAGATCATGATTCTCTAAAATCACACTTTCTCCTCTTAAGTTGTTCTGCATTTTGGTGCCACTACCAAAGAAAATCGTAATCTTCTACATTGATTTGAAGACCATGAACGATTCCGGTAGATATATGTAGAGGACGGAAAAAGGGAACGGTGCTCGTCCCTCCCCCGTCTCATGTGAACCCTCTCGATCTCTATCTCATGCACTGAAACCCCAAACATCCATGAACGCTTCCTGTCGATTGTAGATGCAGGGGAGGAATAAAGGGAATGGTGCTCATTTCTCCCTCGTCTCATGTGAACCCTCTTGATCTATATCTCCTGCACGGACACCCCCTGTGATCTGGGAGTTTGGCTAAACATTGAAGATTTGGAGGTAATAAACATATTTTAAGTCGAAGAAATGGATTAGTAATAAACATATTTTTAAGTTAAGAAATTTGTGATTTTTTATTTACTTAATTATGTATGTTGAGTATAGAGTGAAAATATTGATGAAGAAGGTGAACATAGGGGCTGTTTACCAAATTTTCTATTAAGGGGGTGTTTGGGTAAGCTTTTCAAACTGACTTATTAACTTATTTCAGTTCGGTACCGGAGATAAGTCATTTTGGAGTGTTTGGGTAAAAAAAAAAAAAAAGTGCTTATACCGGTACCAAACCGGTAATAAGTCGTTTTTGATAAGTCAATCCCCCCTGACTTATCAAAATCAACTTATTAACAATTTACCATTTTAACCCTTACCTTCTTCTCAAGCGACCGACTGATGAATTTGTGAAATCGAACCAGAGAATCTCAAACCAAAGAAATCGAGGTCTGTCCATCTCACCAAAGCCTCTGTGAAGCCTGTGAAATCGAATCGAATGTCATCTTGGAGACGGATGTCGTCTTGGAGACGGAAATCGGTGCCAAGAAACTCGCCGATGCAGAGGTTCTCGGGGAGAAACCACTCACAGGGTCTCGCGATGACAACCTCTTCCACGGCGGGTGCAAACATGGATGAACACTAGAGAGGAATCTGGAGAAAATAGGGTTGGAGTGATGAGGATGGAGAGGAATCTGGAGAAAATAGGGTTTGGAGTGAGGATGGAGACGATGAACAGGAGGTTGATTGGAGGACCTTTTTGGTAATTTTACATCTATAAGCCAAATTTGCCAAACACTAAAAACCAACTAATCAACTTATTGCTTTTTGGTACCGTTATAAGCTAATCCAAACACTTTTTACAAAACTCCAGTTTGATACCACATAAGTTAATAAGCACTTTTACAAAAAAGCATAAGTTGTTTTAAATAAGCAATCCCAAACACCCCCTAAGTCCTGTATGGATAAATTTGTCCGTCTGGATAAATTTGGCTGTCTGGATAAATTTGGATTGCTGTTTACTTTTCTATCTGAATCAACAGTCTGAATAACAGAAATGAGCAATTTACCCCTGAGCATATACTACCAAGAATGTTATACAAACAAGCTACTGTTATACCAAGAATGTTATACAAACCCAGAAATAAGACAAAATCGAGCATAATCTATAGATAAGGAGAAGAGTTACCTTTGGAGAAGAGAGCCTTGATTTGAGGAGAAACTATTTCGGCCGATTAGGGTTCTTGGAGGAGAAGATTGGAGGAGAAGGAGCGACTATTGGAGGAGAAAAGAGAGGCGTGGGTTTTATTCAATAAGCCCATTTATCCGGTAAACTCATTAAGCCACAAGTAAACAGGCCCATAGTGCTCTTCCACTTACGAACATAGGACTAGTTCATATGTGAGCAGCTAGTCCAAAAAGAGAGATCAGCTCCAAACAGCAGAAAACAACCCATATAAGGACCAACACTTAACAATCTGAAGCAAACAGGACAGCATCTGATGTGAAAACATATGACCAATCTGATCTGGATCAATATAGACCAACCAGTAACAACTCTAATACTGGAAACAGAACTGGTCCAGCAACATTTACCCAAAAACAAACCATGGCTGTAAAACCAGGAGAAACAACACACAAAATCCCAACACATATTGGTTGGATCAATGATCAACAACCAATATCCCACCATTCCAAAATAGCAAGGCCCAAGAATCTTCCTCAATAAATGCGATGATAAAGATGAAGAACAAGGAAATTGAGAGCAGGACATCTCGAATTGAGTGGTGAAACTGGGTCTACAAGTGTTGAGGATGAAAAGCAGTTGAGAGTGATTTTGAGGATTGTAGAACAATGGCAAACCAGTTCTTTCCATTTGAGATTCAAAACCGAGAGTTGCAATTTGCAAATGGTTGAGCGGGAATAGCAATTGTTTTAAACAATCTGGGAGCTTCCAATCCATCATAAATCTGAGGAAATCTCTATTCTGGTTGCTGCAAATAACGTGTTCGACAAAATGCCAAAGTCGTATAGATACATCTCGATTTGCCCCACTGTTTTACTGCTCAGCTTGAATGGGGAAGAAAAATAAAAGATTGCTACGATTTCAAAACCCTAAAATATTACACAAATTGTTATTTCAAATGGTTTCTCTCAGAACCCTATTTCGACAGAAACACTTCAAGAAAGATTGATTAAACCTATCTTCAAGTTCTAATTCTACAAAGATCGTGCATAGAATTAACTTATGATTCGAATCCAAACTCTTCAAACATAAATAAAAGAACACAAATCCAGGTGTAGATTTTAAAAGTAAGAACATGTAAACAATTAGCCTTGTTTTCATTAAAATCAGATGATAAATTCATCAATTACATATCCTCAACCAGAAAACTTTTCAGCACCAAATTGTTCTAAAATAACATGATTCATTACAATCGCTTAAGCATAATATTCACTACACACCTCATAGATCTACTAACCACCAAATCCATATAAAGTTCTTCCCTGCCTCTTCAAAGCATAGACAACGTCCATGGCCGTCACAGTCTTCCTACGAGCGTGCTCAGTGTATGTAACAGCATCACGAATAACATTCTCCAAAAAGATCTTGAGAACACCACGCGTCTCTTCGTAGATAAGACCGCTGATCCTCTTCACTCCACCTCTCCTCGCTAGCCTTCTAATCGCAGGCTTGGTGATTCCCTGGATGTTATCCCTTAAAACTTTTCTGTGACGCTTTGCTCCTCCCTTTCCCAGCCCCTTTCCACCCTTTCCACGACCAGACATTGTCAAGATATGGAGAAAATTTTCTTGTATCAGAGAATTCTTGAGGGAGAGGTTGATGCGATTAGAGTCATGGAGTAGGGTTTATAAAGGGGGTTGATTTCATGGAATTGGGAATTTTGAATTTTGGGGGTCGATGGATTTCCGCGGGGTGTCAAAAAAGATATCGACGGTGGAGGTTCACTATCCGTGTGATGAGATTTTAACGGATCTGAGACGTTGATAGAGTTACGATCAATGGCCTGGAGTAACTTGGGAAAAGCGATGGATCCTTGACGTGGAATGTGATGGTGGAGGTATTATTTGAAGAAACTTTTACTTAGAGCCCTCCATAAATGACATGTTTACATAACCACCCTATCTCAAAAAAGCTCAATTTTGTATGCTTTTTCACTTCAAAAGTTTTCAAATTTAAATTAAATAGAAGGGTAAAATGATGATTTTAAATCATTTTTATTATAAATGACATCGAATAAAAAGTTCGATCATTTCTATTTGCAGTTTTAACAGTTAAATGATTTGTACATTTTGTAAATTTAGTAACATTCTTGTGTGTTACTCATTGTTTCCTTATTACTTAGTTACGCAGTTCATTGCTTCATCTCAACAAAAAAAGATCTGGTACTCATGTGTTCTTGGACAGGCTTACGCATACCGACTAAACCTGTGGGGACCAAGAATGTCTTGGTGATCATGGAGGTTCATATACGATGACTTAATTAAGGTGTGTGCTAACTTGCATTTCGAACTGGTTATCATGATATTCAGAAGTCATAATCAAATAAATAGTTCTGACAAAATGATTAAATTTATAAATAACTGGATAATCTTATGTGTGCACTTAACAATGGATGGTTATAAAACGAATGTGTCCATATTTTTTTTTTTGGGTGAAGAACAAAGAAACATTGCTCAAAATTCTCATTTTCTCAATTTTAAACAATCTATCGAAGATTCTCTTACTAAATAATTTTGGTTTAGAAATTATACAAGGCTAAAATTCCAAAAAAGCGCATGCACACATAAACTGTATTATTAGAAAACGGTTATATTATTTTACAGACTTATAAATTTCAAATATTTTTTAATGGTGTTATTCTTGTATATGTCAACAATGAAATTAACATGTAAGTTATAAAAATCCATATATGCAAACATTTTTTATTTTATGTATGTATTATAATTGATTTACAACGAACATGTAACTAGTATTTAAATATTGTATTCACATATGATTAGAAACATTTAATAAATCCACTTCATTAAGCTATACAATCATATTTAAATATTGTATTGAAAAATGAAATGTTTAATTAAATGCATTTTTTCACTTTTTCTTTTACAAATTTTTTATGCAATTAGACTTTTGATCTGAAAATTTTATTAGGTTGGTCTTGTCATCAAATAAATCTAGTAAATACAATATATAATTGTACATCAGTATCAGTCTATAGTCCACTCCATATATCCGCCACACAACAAATGCTTCACTCTCGGACGTATATCCATGCCCAACTTGGCTAACAACACATCACTGGGATTGAAGTCAAGTACTTTCGAGTTGCTCTTTGCCCAAAGCCAGTAAGAGTTGATTCAATTGCCAACAGAAGACCGTCTGCGACAACAAGACCATCAGCAACTAATAGTGATGCATGCATTGTTATATTAGATCGAAATCTGAAGGTCATTTCTTAACCTAACTATAAGGGTTGTTTTTTAGAACTTTATCACCCGTTGAGGAGCAAGTGTATACAAGGTATGAGAAGAAATCCTGTTGGATTCATTTCATAGCGCAACATTATATATATTTGGTTAGTTGGAGTTTTAAGCAATTCGAGTTATCTGTAATTCTTCGTTGCTATGTATTAACTCCTGTTCTATAATTTTTTAACAAATAAAAGAAATGAAACAGACGAAAAAATGATAATTTTCCTTTTAAATATGGGATGGAAATGAAAGAAATTAAAACCCGATGGAACATTTTCGTTATGAATGATATATTTTTAAGAGTAAAGTTCACTTTTGGTCCCTAACGTTTGTCACTTTCAACCGTAAAGTTCACTTTTGGTCCCTAACGTTTCTGAACTTTGTTTTATCAATTTTGTTCCTCACGTTTGACACTTTGCAACGGTTTTCATTCTTCCTCCTAACCGTCGTTAACTTTTTCCATTAAGTTTAATTAAATGGGGGGTATTTAAGTCATTTTAGACATTTTTCTATTTTTATAAAAATCATCAAACAATAGGGACTTGTTACCTAAATAACGCTAATATTTATACTATATTATAAAACATTTGACAAAAACTCTTAAAAACTATTTTTTGTGCATGAAATTCGGTTTATTGATGCACATTACTTAAAATTTAAGATTACAAGTAAATTGTGCATAAGTACAACTTATTAAAAACTCTATGTTTGAATTTGTGTAACTAAATGCAGATACACATAATCAAATACATGATAAATATATCATTTTAAACATAAAAAAATTAAAATATAATTAAGATAATCATTGATGTTTAATAGAGTATTTAATTATTATCTTATAAAAAAATATTATTAAATCAAAATAAATTATTTCGTTGTTAAACCTAAATTAAATTATAATAAAAAAATTGAATTAAAGAAATTACAAAAAAATAAAATGTTTAAATAGTTAATATGATACTGATATCGATATATATATTTTTTTAATTTTTTATGATATGTTCAAATTTATAGTTTATTCAAAATAAAAATATTGTCGTTTTCTCAAAACACATAAAACCGTATTATATTGACAGAGACAAAAAATAAAATAAAATATTAAAATCGAAATATATATTGCTTCATTGCACAAATATCCTCCCGGTATATATATAGAGGAGCGTTCAAATAAAAACTTGCCCCATTTGTATAAACCGTGTAAACCAATCTCATCCATCCATTTTTTTGATCAATGGCTAAAATTAGTTTACTTTATTTTAGAAAATTAAAAATTAAAAAATAATAAATATTTATTTTATTTCAATACTAAGGGCAAAATTGGTAAACAAAGTTAACATTTTGTAACTCCTTTCCAGATTCATTTAATAACAAAAAAAA